TTTTCAATAGCATGTTCATTGCAGCCTCTTTCAATTTTAATTTATGACACGGCATTTCCGAAGGAGTAATACTATTAAGAAATTCTATGGGAAAATTTTCCTTTTCAGTATCATCTGTGTAATCACTCAAATACGTGTGAAAATCTCCATCGAGTATATCCAAGTTTTCTTCATTTAATTTTTGAACATGCTCATTTTTTGGACAAAGAATTGCACATTTAGATATATTTTTAATATTATCTATAGCAGTGGTTCTCAACCTTGGCTGCACATTAGAATCACCTGGGAATCTTTTTAAAATCCTGATTCCTGGGCCTCATCCTCCGGAAATTGTTTCTTTGTTATGGGGTGGGGCCACAACATTAGTAACAAAGAAACAGAATTAAAACTTTATTGTGAGGAGCCGCTACAGTGTTTTGGACAGGTTCAAGCCTTGGACTGATGAGAGGGCACAGTCCTCTCATTGCCACGAGCAAGTCCCAGCTTGGAGGGCAGGGCCCTCCCAGCACAATTATAGCCAACAGCTGTAGTTGTAAGCTTGAACCTCTAGTCCGAACACATGGCCACACATGCTTGAGTAATGCAGGTTTGATAGAGTTCAGGTGCATGTAGCTGAGGAGGATTGAATCCCAGGAAAATGTTGTGAACATCTTTGTCACGCTCTTACTTTGCCTCCTAGCATCTGCTATAAAATACAGGCATGGCTGTGAGCGTGGTCGCTCTCAGAGAAGCAGCGTCCCACTGAGACCCAGCTTTCATTCTCTTGTCTGTCTTTTCTAGGCCTTTCAGCTGCCACCACTCAGGTTCACCCCTGGCCGTGCTGGCTTGGCACACTTTGGAAAGATAATGCCTTCAAGCTCCCAGGGCAGGTTCTTGCCTCAAACCCTGTCCTTACAGGAAACAGCTCCTGGGAAACAGCTCAGGGGAGGGCACAGCTGTTGCCAAGACAACCCCTGAGGGACTGACTTCCTTCTGCTTGGTCGCTGTGGTTCAGGTCATGATGAACACCACCCATCGTTTTTATATAAGTAGATATTCTCCATTTCACCTATTAGGCAGCTCACAAATTACTTTATGTAACAAATATATGGCAAGAAACCTTATTTTGAGAAGAATGAAGAAAGAGAAGATTAAGGGAAAACCAAGATGGCGGCATAGGTAAACACCGGAGTTTGCTGCCTCGAACAACCACTTCAAAAATACAACTAAAAGACGGAACGGACATCATCCAGAAAAACAGGAAGGCTGGCTGAGTGGAAATTCTACAACTAGAAGGAAAGAGAAAAGCATACCGAGACTTAAAGGAGGCGCAGCGAGGAAGTAAAATCCTAAGGTACAGAGGTGCACGCGGAGAGGGCTGGCGGCTGAGAGCACGATTGTCATTTTCAATCGGGAGGGATTCTCAGGCTCTGAGCTCCAGTTCCGGGCGAGTCTCTGGGGACCCAGACGCATACGGGAGAAGCGGGACTGTCTGGCATCGGTCGGAACTTGAGGGCAACTTTCTCTCAGAGGGGCTTGCAGTGGTTGCTGAGACACTGAGAAGTGGAGCTTCTGAGAGCAGCCATAACTGCTAGCCCCGCCCTGTTGATACCATGGGACTCGCCCCGCCCAAGCCCTGCAGGAAGGCTTTTGCTGGAGAGCCTAAGGCAGAGGCTAGATTAGCACCTCCCTAGTGATCCAGGAGCCAGTGTACCCAGAGGTCAAAGTGGGACCATCCAGTTTGCAGCTCCGTGGAATCATAAAGGACACACTAGGGGGCAGACTCTGTGAGCACCAAAGCCCCAAGTCTAGCCCCAGAGGGGTGTCTCCAGCACAGAAGTTCT